AGTTAGCCTGATGTATATTTCTGGGAGTTCCTAATTTTTTTTAAATCAAACGATATTTTTGCATTTCTTTATAAACACTCGTTGCAAAATAAAATCCTTACATTCGCCTTGATAAATTCCATCAGAGGACGAAACACACTGGTAAAGAAAAGTTTACCTTTTGTTTTTATTCATATACATATGACAGCAAACTACTCTTCCATGATTGTCTCCTTGTGTCAGACTAGCATTACCATAAAAGATAAATAGTTTCGGTGGGAAAAAAAGGCCAGATATTTGCCTAACTGAAAGATTTATCTGTCGAGTGTGTGAGAAGAATTGTTCGCCGTCGGCTTAAAGCTGTCTTCTTTTTTTTTTCTGGAGATTTTAAGATGTTTTACCGATTCCTATTTGGCGACTTGGAGAATATTTGTCGACATCAGAAGCTGATGTTTGGCACTGGCTTTCATTATTGTGTGTCATTGTTTAATTAATAGGGTTTCAAATGCCGAACAAAAAGGCAGCAACTGATTAGTGAAGACCAGGCGAAGTCAGATAATGTTATTGTCGAAATTCCTCACAGCGATAAGAGCTTATCGTTTGGCGAAATTTAATGCGAGAAGACATACATTCGAAAAACAAAAAAATAAAAATAACTATCAAACTTCTCAGGAAGCAAAACAAAAGAAAAGCGTTAATGTTTAAAATACAAACGTATTTTGGAATAAGAAGTTATATCAATATCCACAGTCCATTATTTTTGATAACCTCATATTTTCATGTTACTTCTTAAACACAGTAAAATGGCAAATGTCGAAATTCATATGTCATTATTTTTTATAATATCATATTTTCATGTTAATTTTTAAACGCAGTAAAATGGCAAATATCGAAATTCATGTCATTAGGTTTGATAACATCATATTTTCATGTTAATTTTTAAACGCAGTAAAATAGCAAATATCGAAATTCATGTCATTAGGTTTGATAACATCATATTTTCATGTTAATTTTTAAACGCAGTAATATGGCAAATATCGAAATTCATGTCATTAGGTTTGATAACATCATATTTTCATGTTAATTTTTAAACGCAGTAAAATGGCAAATATCGAAATTCATGTCATTAGGTTTGATAACATCATATTTTCATGTTATTTTTAAACGCAGTAAAATGGCGAATGTCGAAATTCATGTCATTAGGTTTGATAACATCATATTTTCATGTTAATTTTTAAACGCAGTAAAATAGCAAATATCGAAATTCATGTCATTAGGTTTGATAACATCATATTTTCATGTTAATTTTTAAACGCAGTAAAATGGCGAATGTCGAAATCCATGTCATTAGGTTTGATAACATCATATTTTCATGTTAATTTTTAAACGCAGTAAAATGGCAAATATCGAAATTCATGTCATTAGGTTTGATAACATCATATTTTCATGTTAATTTTTAAACGCAGTAAAATGGCGAATGTCGAAATCCATGTCATTAGGTTTGATAACATCATATTTTCATGTTAATTTTTAAACGCAGTAAAATGGCAAATATCGAAATTCATGTCATTAGGTTTGATAACATCATATTTTCATGTTAATTTTTAAACGCAGTAAAATGGCAAATATCGAAATTCATGTCATTAGGTTTGATAACATCATATTTTCATGTTAATTTTTAAACGCAGTAAAATGGCAAATATCGAAATTCATGTCATTAGGTTTGATAACATCATATTTTCATGTTAATTTTTAAACGCAGTAAAATGGCAAATATCGAAATTCATGTCATTAGGTTTGATAACATCATATTTTCATGTTAATTTTTAAACGCAGTAAAATGGCGAATGTCGAAATCTATGTCATTAGGTTTGATAACATCATATTTTCATGTTAATTTTTAAACGCAGTAAAATGTCAAATATCGAAATTCATGTCATTAGGTTTAATAACATCATATTTTCATGTTAATTTTTAAACGCAGTAAAATAGCAAATATCGAAATTCATGTCATTAGGTTTGATAACATCATATTTTCATGTTAATTTTTAAACGCAGTAAAATGGCAAATATCGAAATTCATGTCATTAGGTTTGATAACATCATATTTTCATGTTAATTTTTAAACGCAGTAAAATGGCGAATGTCGAAATCTATGTCATTAGGTTTGATAACATCATATTTTCATGTTAATTTTTAAACGCAGTAAAATGGCAAATATCGAAATTCATGTCATTAGGTTTAATAACATCATATTTTCATGTTAATTTTTAAACGCAGTAAAATAGCAAATATCGAAATTCATGTCATTAGGTTTGATAACATCATATTTTCATGTTAATTTTTAAACGCAGTAAAATGGCAAATATCGAAATTCATGTCATTAGGTTTGATAACATCATATTTTCATGTTAATTTTTAAACGCAGAAAAATGGCAAATATCGAAATTCATGTCATTAGGTTTGATAACATCATATTTTCATGTTAATTTTTAAACGCAGTAAAATGGCGAATGTCGAAATTCATGTCATGAGGTTTGATAACATCATATTTTCATGTTAATTTTTAAACGCAGTAAAATGGCGAATGTCGAAATTCATGTCATTAGGTTTGATAACATCATATTTTCATGTTAATTTTTAAACGCAGTAAAATGGCAAATATCGAAATTCATGTCATTAGGTTTGATAACATAATATTTTCATGTTAATTTTTAAACGCAGTAAAATGGCAAATATCGAAATTCATGTCATTAGGTTTGATAACATCATATTTTCATGTTAATTTTTAAACGCAGTAAAATGGCGAATGTCGAAATTCATGTCATTAGGTTTGATAACATCATATTTTCATGTTAATTTTTAAACGCAGTAAAATAGCAAATATCGAAATTCATGTCATTAGGTTTGATAACATCATATTTTCATGTTAATTCTTTAATACTATAAATAGCGATTGCTATAATCAACTCGTTATTATTTTTGATAATATCATATTTTCATGTTAACCCTTAAACTCCATAAAATGGCGGATGAGACACTCAAAAGGTTATTACTTTTCATATCATATTTTGGAATTGGCGTCGACGAAATGAACATGTTTTCAACTTTAGATCAGAGAAGTCTATCTGTAAATTCCCCAGTCGTAAATGTAGTAGATGAATACTCCCGCCGACTCTAAACGCCTAAAACTATCTCCCGTGTCTCCTGCGCAAGACGAGCTGTTTATTTCTTGTCGAAAGTCGTCCTAGAGATGATATCTTGAACAAAATTACCCCTTGTCGGTTAAGGATAAAACGCAAAAAAAAAAAGCCCCCCAATGTTTACAAACCAAAACTCATACCGGATCGGTCGTCACAGGGTCCGCGTCCCTCAGAAAGGATCCAGTCTTGGATCCAAAAATCTGTCACTGGAACAAACCGTTCCACCCTGGTCACCAAAACCAGATTAACGCCAACATTGGATTTGATGACTTAATGTCGAATTATTTAGTAAAAAGAAAGCGAACGAAATGGAATCGTGAAGAGCATAAACAAGTTATGACATCTTTTTTTTTCCACTCGGAAATTTACAGAAGAACCTCACGTATCAAACATACCAAATATGGAGAGATGTGGCAGGAAATAAAATAATACCCTATCTTGACTTAAACATGACGTTATACAAAATCAAAGATACTCTATTGCAGAAATAGATCAGATATAATTAAATATAAGACAAAGTACAAGAAGACATGACCTAAACAATAATGATTCAAGAGTGAAAATTGATATTATGACAGAGGATGGAATACTAAAATAAATAACATACAAAATATTGATCCCTCAAGAAATAAAATGGAAGAATCTAGCTACGACATAAACAATTGCAAGGATTCAGATTCTGTCAGTGATGAAAATGAATCAAACAACTGTCTATATTTCTGAGAATAGATATTATGTACACTATTTACATTATTCGGACTTCATATTTGTCGCCATATTTATTACGTTTCGGCCGTTGTACGCTCCGGTCTTCTTCAGTATCTGTCTATATTTCTGAGATGAGGTATTATGTACATTATTTACATTATTCGGATTTCATCTTTGTCGCCATATTTATTACAACGTTTCGGCCGTTGTACGCTCCGGCCTTCTTCAGTATCTGTCTATATTTCTGAGATGAGGTATTATGTGCACTATTTACATTATTCGGACGATTGTCCTCGTCTTTTTCGCCATGTTTATTACGTTTCGGCCGTTGTACGCTCCGGTCTTCAGTATCTGTCTATATTTCTGGGATGAGGTATTATCTACATTATTTACATTATTCGGATTATTGTCCTCAGAAATTATCTGACAACCATGAGTGTTTTCTGTTGTTTGTGTAGCATGGCGCAGAGTTCTCTTGAGAGACATTGGTTTTTCCAGCAGCCACCCTCTTGACCCAGGGCAGCACTATCTCCTCAAGGCACTTGATATAGTCTTCCATGTTGAGAATGAGGCTCTCACCATTGAATTCCTCAAGGACACATGGCAGAGTGGATAAAGGCGTTAGTTAGATCTAGTGAGAGGACCCAAAAGAATGTGAGTTCAATTCCCGGTGGAGAACTTTCAGGGGGTGGGGAATTAACAGGAGATAACTGATAACTGACATCCATTAAAAATATGGCACGTGGAACTAGAACAGTCTACCCCAGTGAGCGAAATAAAGGGTTCCGTTTGACATTCCAACCAACTGAAGAAGGCCGGAGCGTACAACGGCCGAAACGTTGTAATAAATATGGTGACAAAGATGAGCACAATAGTCCGAATAATGTAAATAATGTAATTTTGTGACATAGTAACGTTCATGTCAATGCATTGTTTGGGGAACTTTCTTCTGGTTTCTTGCTTTCCAGTCAACATTCATATTCAAAATTTCTAATGCAATGTCAATCGCTATCTTCTTAAATGCTCTTCATTTATTGTTTTCACTTCTTAATAATTATTTTTCATTTTTTCATTTACTCTTAAGCTCAGTCAATCCTAAGACTAACAGTAAGATCATTATTGAAACACCACTTCCAGTATGATCATTGAAGTTAAGCAATATCAAGCCTGGTCAGTTCCTAGATGGGTGACCGCTTGGGAATACCAAATGCTGTATGCTTGGGTGTGAGGGAGGTGTAATGCCTCGGGATTGTTAATCGGAGAGCCGAGTTCCAATTTCCTGTTGCGTTCGTTATATTCACTTTCGCGTATTATGAATCCACCTCTCCCCACCTCTTAATAATAATAATGATGACAATAATACAAGGACCTTGAAATAGAAATTTCAAAAATGTGGCATATGGGAACATCAACAATCCCTGTTGTAGTTGGAGCCCTAGGACTGGTTAAAAAAGATTGCTGTAGACTAATTGAAGGGATTCCTGGAAGTCCATGCCTCAAGGAGATACAAAAAATTGTTCTGACAAGTACAGCCCACACTTTATGAAAGGCTTTATCTATGTAATTTTTTTTTTTTTTTTTTTGTCAGTGGAAAGTGTCATGATGCCATTTCTAACCTTAGGTTCCTGGGCGGGACCCGGAAAGAAATGTGTAAACGCCAGAAATCAAAGAAAATAATAATAATAATAATAATAGTAATGATAATAATAATGTAAATAATGACTCAAACAACATTAGAGCAGAATTATTTGAAAACAACAAAGTTAAAATCACTGAAGAGAAAAACGGCATCATTCAAATCATCAGCGAAGTAACTGGCACTAAAATGTCAGAAATTCATCTGACAAATTCCAATGAACATACTGGGCAAAACATATCACGCTGCATGGCAGACATTGTTAACGGACAGACGACTGGAAACGTCACAGAAGTAAATAATGGCATATATGCAACAGCTTCGGCAGATGCTGAAATATTTAATGCCAAGACAAAGAAAACATTAAACAAGAGACAAAAAAGGACCAGTTTGGGAGGCAAAATTATAGCGAGAAATTAAGGAAATCAGCTGTGAATTATCGAAGATCTCTTCAATACTGTAAAATGTTTCAGTGATGACTGATTGACTGACTGATGAATGTCCAAAAGGTGGAGGCACGGTGGAGTAATGGATATCGGCTTGGATTGAGGAATCGGAGATCCGAGTTCGAATTCCAGTCGAATCCATTACATTTGCTAATACCCTTGGGAAAGCTATGAATCATCTTCTTCTTCTCCCACCCAGCAATGGATGAATAGCAGGACAGACCGGGCAGCTCGGATTGAGGAATCGGAGAGCCGAGTTCGAATTCCAGTCGAATCCATTACATTCACTTACGTGCTAATACCCTTGGGAAAGGTATGAATCCTTCTTCTTCTCCCACCCAGCAATGGATGAATAGCAGGACAGGCCGGGCAGCTCGGATTGAGGAATCGGAGAGCCGAGTTCAAATTCCAGTCGAATCCATTACATTCACTTACGTGCTAATACCCTTGGGAAAGGTATGAATCTCTTCTTCTTCTCCCACCCAGCAATGGATGAATAGCAGGAGCTCGGATTTCGAGAATTCCAGTCGAATCCATTACATTCACTTACGTGCTAATACCCCTTGGGAAAGGTATGAATCCTCTTCTTCTTCTCCCACCCAGCAATGGATGAATAGCAGGACAGACCGGGCAGCTCGGATTGAGGAATCGGAGAGCCGAGTTCAAATTCCAGTCGAATCCATTACATTCACTTACGTGCTAATACCCTTGGGAAAGGTATGAATCCTCTTCTTCTTCTCCCACCCAGCAATGGATGAATAGCAGGACAGACCGGGCAGCTCGGATTGAGGAATCGGAGAGCCGAGTTCAAATTCCAGTCTAATCCATTACATTCACTTACGTGCTAATACCCTTGGGAAAGGTATGAATACTCTTCTTCTTCTCCCACCCAGCAATGGATGAATAGCAGGACAGACCGAGCAGCTCGGATTGAGGAATCGGAGAGCCGAGTTCAAATTCCAGTCGAATCCATTACATTCACTTACGTGCTAATACCCTTGGGAAAGGTATGAATCCTCTTCTTCTTCTCCCACCCAGCAATGGATGAATAGCAGGACAGACCGGGCAGCTCGGATTGAGGAATCGAGAGCCGAGTTCGAATTCCAGTCGAATCCATTACATTCACTTACGTGCTAATACCCTTGGGAAAGGTATGAATCATCTTCTTCTTCTCCCACCCAGCAATGGATGAATAGCAGGACAGACCGGGCAGCTCGGATTGAGGAATCGGAGAGCCGAGTTCGAATTCCAGTCGAATCCATTACATTCACTTACGTGCTAATACCCTTGGGAAAGGTATGAATCCTCTTCTTCTTCTCCCACCCAGCAATGGATGAATAGCAGGACAGACCGGGCAGCTCGGATTGAGGAATCGGAGAGCCGAGTTCGAATTCCAGTCGAATCCATTACATTCACTTACGTGCTAATACCCTTGGGAAAGGTATGAATCCTCTTCTTCTTCTCCCACCCAGCAATGGATGAATAGCAGGACAGACCGTGCAGCTCGGATTGAGGAATCGGAGAGCCGAGTTCAAATTCCAGTCGAATCCATTACATTCACTTACGTGCTAATACCCTTGGGAAAGGTATGAATCCTCTTCTTCTTCTCCCACCCAGCAATGGATGAATAGCAGGACAGACCGGGCAGCTCGGATTGAGGAATCGGAGAGCCGAGTTCCAGTCGAATCCATTACATTCACTTACGTGCTACCCTTGGGAAAGGTATGAATCCTCTTCTTCTTCTCCCACCCAGCAATGGATGAATAGCAGGACAGAAGCTCGGATTGAGGAATCGGAGAGCCGAGTTCGAATTCCAGTCGAATCCATTACATTCACTTACGTGCTAATACCCTTGGGAAAGGTATGAATCCTCTTCTTCTTCTCCCACCCAGCAATGGATGAATAGCAGGACAGACCGGGCAGCTCGGATTGAGGAATCGGAGAGCCGAGTTCAAATTCCAGTCTAATCCATTACATTCACTTACGTGCTAATACCCTTGGGAAAGGTATGAATCCTCTTCTTCTTCTCCCACCCAGCAATGGATGAATAGCAGGACAGACCGGGCAGCTCGGATTGAGGAATCGGAAAGCCGAGTTCGAATTCCAGTCGAATCCATTACATTCACTTACGTGCTAATACCCTTGGGAAAGATATGAATCATCTTCTTCTTCTCCCACCCAGCAATGAATAAATAGCAGGATAGACCGGGCAGCTCGGATTGAGGAATTTGAGAGCCAAGTTCGAATTCCAGTCGAATCCATTACATTCACTTACGTGCTAATACCCTTGGGAAAGGTATGAATCCTCTTCTTCTTCTCCCACCCAGCAATGAATAAATAGCAGGATAGACCGGGCAGCTCGGATTGAGGAATCGGAGAGCCGAGTTCGAATTCCAGTCGAATCCATTACATTCACTTACGTGCTAATACCCTTGGGAAAGGTATGAATCCTCTTCTTCTCCCACCCAGCAATGGATGAATAGCAGGACAGACCGGGCAGCTCGGATTGAGGAATCGGAGAGCCGAGTTCGAATTCCAGTCGAATCCATTACATTCACTTACGTGCTAATACCCTTGGGAAAGGTATGAATCCTCTTCTTCTTCTCCCACCCAGCAATGGATGAATAGCAGGACAGACCGGGCAGCTCGGATTGAGGAATCGGAGAGCCGAGTTCGAATTCAGTCGAATCCATTACATTCACTTACGTGCTAATACCCTTGGGAAAGGTATGAATCCTCTTCTTCTTCTCCCACCCAGCAATGGATGAATAGCAGGACAGACCGGGCAGTTCGGATTGAGGAATCGGAGAGCCGAGTTCGAATTCCAGTCGAATCCATTACATTCACTTACGTGCTAATACCCTTGGGAAAGGTATGAATCCTCTTCTTCTTCTCCCACCCAGCAATGGATGAATAGCAGGACAGACCGGGTAGCTCGGATTGAGGAATCGGAGAGCCGAGTTCGAATTCCAGTCGAATCCATTCACTTACGTGCTAATACCCTTGGGAAAGGTATGAATCCTCTTCTTCTTCTCCCACCCAGCAATGGATGAATAGCAGGACAGACCGGGCAGCTCGGATTGAGGAATCGGAGAGCCGAGTTCGAATTCAGTCGAATCCATTACATTCACTTACGTGCTAATACCCTTGGGGAAAGGTATGAATCCTCTTCTTCTTCTCCCACCCAGCAATGGATGAATAGCAGGACAGACCTGGCAGCTCGGATTGAGGAATCGGAAAGCCGAGTTCGAATTCCAGTCGAATCCATTACATTCTTTTACGTGCTAATACCCTTGGGAAAGATATGAATCATCTTCTTCTTTCCCACCCAGCAATGAATAAATAGCAGGATAGACCGGGCAGCTCGGATTGAGGAATTTGAGAGCCAAGTTCGAATTCCAGTCGAATCCATTACATTCACTTACGTGCTAATACCCTTGGGAAAGGTATGAATCCTCTTCTTCTTCTCCCACCCAGCAATGGAATAAATAGCAGGATAGACCGGGCAGCTCGGATTGAGGAATCGGAGAGCCGAGTTCGAATTCAGTCGAATCCATTACATTCACTTACGTGCTAATACCCTTGGGAAAGGTATGAATCCTCTTCTTCTTCTCCCACCCAGCAATGGATGAATAGCAGGACAGACCGGGCAGCTCGGATTGAGGAATCGGAGAGCCGAGTTCAAATTCAGTCGAATCCATTACATTCACTTACGTGCTAATACCCTTGTTAAAGGTATGAATCCTCTTCTTCTTCTCCCACCCAGCAATGGATGAATAGCAGGACAGACCGGGCAGCTCGGATTGAGGAATCGGAGAGCCGAGTTCGAATTCCAGTCGAATCCATTACATTCACTTACGTGCTAATACCCTTGGGAAAGGTATGAATCCTCTTCTTCTTCTCCCACCCAGCAATGGATGAATAGCAGGACAGACCGAGAGCCGAGTTCAAATTCCAGTCTAATCCATTACATTCACTTACGTGCTAATACCCTTGGGAAAGGTATGAATCCTCTTCTTCTTCTCCCACCCAGCAATGGATGAATAGCAGGACAGATCGGATTGAGGAATCGGAGAGCCGAGTTCAAATTCCAGTCGAATCCATTACATTCACTTACGTGCTAATACCCTTGGGA